ATATACTTTTATTTTTTTATTCTTTAGAACAACAAAGACTAGAATCAGATGTTAAGATATGTATATATTTATGTGTACACTTATACGCAATAAAGTAATAAATTATCTGTAAAATAAAAAAAATGTATTGATATTTTAATATATTATTTTATTCTCTTTCCTTTTTCATTTCCAAATACTTTTTAAACAAAATTTGAGACGCTAGCTTCTTTATATTCTATCAGAATTAAATTACATATAAGAAAACAATACTTTAAGTAAGTGAATCACAAATAACTAACTTAATTGAACTAAATTATATATTGTGGATTCTGTTATATATGTAACAGTAATGAATAAAAAGTTGATTGAAAATTAAAAATATGCACATATTATGTATATTTTTATAATTAATACGTAGATACATGGAGAAAAAATATTTGCTATGAACGCAAAAGGGAATGCAAAATGTGTTTGTCGAATTTCTATGTTTTGTAGTAAACAAATTTGCATATTTAACAAATATTTGGCGTTTGATGCAAATAATTTTGTAGCGAGTAAAAAAAATAACGCATTAATATGTATTTGTTAATATAATTGTAATTATAACAACATATATTTGCCCACGTTTTGCATTGAATTTTACACTGATACGCCCTGATAAAGTGAACAGCAAGATTTACAAAACGTTGGCATTAGCAATGGATAATGACACGGCGATAACCTACCTGATAAATCTTTTAGCATCTCTGAAGCAGAAATTCGTGAAAGACTCAAAAGTATTATATTACTGTAACTTCACTGTAAACATGTTTTATATTTCATATAATGTAAATTCTATTAATATATATGTAAGTAGCAATAACATAAAAAAAAGGAATTTCATTTTACTTTATTTTAATTCATTAATTAAATCTTATTTTAATCTTTATCTTCAAATATTATATGCAATTATATATCTTTTATTTATTTGATATATTTATTGCAACTGCAACAAACACGAACAAATTTTATTTGTTACACCTGCAAATAATTTTGCAATCCCTATATTCGCAAATGAAATTTGTCATTACGGCAAAGGATTAGCGATTATAGTAAATTTTTTCTTTCCGTATAAGAAGTTGATTTTTTATATCAACTTTTTTAGCTAAACTATAATTAAACTAAACTATAATTAACTAACAAAGAAACATAATTTTAAATGATGTATGTATATGAAAAAAATGTAGAATTTTGTCCAAAATTTTGGAAACAATAGAAGCAACATCAGATCAATGTGCATATTTATTTCTGGTTGAAAAAGTTTTTGCATTTGTATTGGAGAATGTTTCTTTGTAATTTTATTGTCATTTTCTTAATGAATATCGTAAAGTTTATCACTTATATAAGGTATGTCTATATTTGAGATTTTAATATTAATGGTATTGAATTATAGATCGTTTACATTGTTTACAATGTTGCAGCAATCTTGTTGCGCGCATTTATATTTAAAATTTATGCCGAGAAAGAATCTATTTTAAAATTTATTACAAAATCGGTAAAAATTTGTCACTTCAATTTAATGATTATTCTTGATAAGAGTAAAAAACAGATTCAATTAATATGTATGATTCAATTAATACATATATTCAATTTATATTTAGAAAGATTATAAGGAAGGAAAAAGAACGTTTCCTACAGTCTGCACTACAGTCTACAGCATACGTATATTAAAAAAAATTAATTTTATAAGAAATTTTAGAAAATAAAATTGGTAAATTAGAAAATGTCTAAGATTAATTTAGGAAAGATTTAGGAAAGATCATTTCAAGTAAAATTTTGTTTGCGTTTTGTTATCTATAAATTAAAAATAATAACATTTAGAATAAAAATCTGAATCTGTTAATTCATTTTTAATAAATGATAGCTTTAATAAATGATATATACATATATATATTACAAAAAATGTAAGTTTAAATTTTTAAATTTTTATTTGAATTCATTCTTTTTATAATATTATCTTATAATACTATTTATTAAAAAAGTAATAAAATATCCTAACAGCATAGATCTCTCAGGAGATGTCCTTAGAACATCTAGAGGTCCTTTGAACTGTCAAGGACATCTCTAGGATGTATTCCAAATAAGTGCTATTAGGGTAAAAAGGATGTAAATTATAGATTAAAGGAAGATGAAAGGAAGCAACGAAACCGAATATCAAGTTGATATTTCACCGAGCTTCATAATTAAACAAACATTGGCTATAGTCATCACCGGAAATTCAACACAAACGCCTAAGAGAAATAAAACTACCACTAAACAATTTCGCAAGCGTCTGCTCCGATCATGATTCAAACTGATACCGCGACTCTGATGATTCTGGTAACTGGTAACATTCCATGTGTTACTACTGTGAACCCTTTCCTCGCGTGCAGCTTGATGCCAATAAAAGATTCTGCGAACGTAAGTGTCGGAACTCTGAGAAGTTGGACCACATTGTGCGCAATTGCCGAGACTCTCGGTGTACGTGTACGTCGCTGCTGTTGTAACAAACCACAGTACAGCGAAAACTTGTTCCTCATATTCGAAAAAAGTCGTTAGAGTAGACTTTTATTGTCCGGAACCAGTGCCGAAAAATCTCGACTTTTTTGTGTTCTCTATTATTTATACTACCATCATTACTTTCTATTTTAATATTTTTACGTAGCTTCTTGGTTGACTCAGGATCTAGTTGTATAATAAGATTGCACGAAGATCAAGACAATGATGGCGAACAAGACTTTGTCATCGCAAAATGACATTATGATCAAGATACTATGGGATTTTTATAATTCTTTTCATGGAAGCAATAAGGATTATTTGTTGATTATTCTTTATGTACCAACTGTACTAGTCGGTGTGATAGCTAACATTTTTGTGATAATTGTAGTTTGCAAATATCATTTAAAGAGGTAAGTAATTATGCAAAGTTTTTAATTGAATTTAGACTATTAATTATGAATTATCTAATACCTGATATTTGTAATAAATAGGCAAAACGAGATGCGAAATTAATACCCGCATCTTTCAAATTTTATATCTTTATTAAATTGAATTATATTGTGCTATGTTGAATTATTAATAGATTTTCAGGTTGTTATAGTTTCAAATTTTTTGAAAAAAAAAAAAAATTTTTTTTAATTAAGTGCCAACAAACTATATTACAAATCTTTATCACGTGTGGAACTAGATTCACATCCCCGATATGAAACAAACAATAGTACCGAATTTATTGAATAACAAATTCGGAAAGCAGACGGCAGGAGATGGCTTCTCCGATGGCTCATTGTGATCTTACGCGATTTCAGTAGCATTTCGTGTGGGAGCACGAATTTCTGGTTGAAAAATAATCGAAGACCTACTACCGACAGCAACCGCAGCTGTTCGTCCATTATGAATGCATTGCGGATAGTTTATTTGCATGATACGTTGCGTATATAAGTCGGAAATAAGCGACGGATATATGTAGCGCTTCGTGAAATACCTGAACTGTTACGAACACTGCACCAGAATATATTTTTCATTAGAGCAATAATCTCTTCCACAATCGGAGCTATCTTGGTGAAGATTGTTTCTATCAAACGCAACACAAGTATCGTGTTAAATTTTATTAACTAAATTATGTATATAATAAAAATATTTTATATATATATATAAAGTCAGTGATTTGATGATTATCAAAAATAATTTAATAAACTTCTGAAAATTTGAATATATGGTTACGAAGCATTATACCAATTTCGTATCAAAACAAACAGAAAATCTTATGTGCTGCTATTTATGTGAGCCTTCTGAAGAACCTTCTTTCGTTGAATTTGTACCACATTCTAAAATCTAATATTCTATGAACTTTATCTTTGTTTGCAAAAAATTTACACTTATCAATATTCTTAACTAAAGTTGCTAAACTAGATTCTAAACTAGAATTACACATTTTACACATTTCTTTTATCAATATAAAATATTCATTAAATTAATGGAACAAAAATATGATCGTAAAATAAACAATAATTTTTTAAATTTTTATTTATAAAATATTAATAGAAAATATAATCGAGCTTTAGATTTTATTAATTAGATATTTAAATTTATACATACATAAATAATCGCAGAAAAAAGATAGATTTTGCTTATATATATAAAATTAAAGAGATACAATTCTTACAGCGTTACAAATTATTTTGTGATTAATCTGTCCATGGCTGATTTGTTGGTTGCCACAATATGCATGCCAATGACAATCAGCCAGGAAATATCAATGTCATGGAATCACAGTGAATTCCTGTGCAAATTAACTTCTTATCTGCAAAGTAAGAATTTTTACAAAGCTCTCAATAATTTATAATCTAGTCTGATCGCACTTATCATTTGTATGTACTTTTATGTTATTTTATTGTGTGAATAATAAATATATATCATTGATTATTTAATCTCTTAC